AAGCAAGCCTAAAGAGTTCTGATTGCAGTTAAATGTTTCAACCTTAAGCCTAATTTTCTGTAGGACAAGAGGAAGAGCAAAACAGTTTTATCAATGAAGGCACTTATAAAACATTCTTATTGAACTGTAAAAATCGGTCTACGAAATTGGTCCTTTAACTGTGCTATTCAACTGCGATCTTCCCATCTTTGTAACCTACCGGGCATCTTCATGATGCTTTTACAAGGACTATTTCCTAAAATCTCATCTATCAAGAAGAGATGGGTCTTGAACCATCTAAAATCTACTTGCTTTCTCAGGATCAAGCCGGCAGCAAATATTAACAAATTAATTATAAAACAAAGTTGTGTACATGTTTTACACAAACGCGAGAAATATAGTATAGAGAAGAATGGATAGACAGGTGAGCAAGGGAAGGACGATAGAGACAGAATATTCAGGGACGGAGGACGCAAGGGACGTGGCGTCTACCGGAGAGCGAGTTTTTATAAATATCTCACATTTGGTAATTTCACTAATGGACACACATATCTGTAGTGACGGAAGGGCTTAAGGCAAATGATTTATTGACTAAAGTGTCGTGACGTCACGTCGTCTGCAGAAGCTGTCTCGACGAATGAATCCTTCATTAGAGGGACTATGCAGTGTCCCAGTATCTCGCAAAGGATTGGCGATTTAAAATATAAAAAAAAACACTATTCCTTATTCTACCTACTTCCAAGTGATGTTATCAATCATATGTTGACCCATTCAAATCATGAAAAGTGATTGTTTGAGACCCTAAGCTCATTTACTAAATTTATGACGACTTGAGCTCTGAACCCGCTGTGGGTTGTAAGAGGTTTCAGTAAGTTTCTGAGGGTTTAGTATGTCCACAGCAATAGAATCAGCTAAATCGAATAGGTTTTCTAATGCGAAATTACATAACAACCACTCTTAAGTAATTCCTAAACTATGAAGACCAATAAACTCTCAAATAAAATATTACCTCGCCGCAGGAAACTTGCAGATAAAGCGAATATTCATTTACCTGATTGGGTTTTCACTTATATAATATTTTAATGTCAAATTTATTCCTTATTTAAATAACGTTTTACGATTACTTAGGTTTGCTGATACAGAGAAGGTGTTAGAGTGTGTGTTTTCGTAAAATTATAAATAGTAGGCTATATAATGAAATAAATAAATGTACCAAACTTGGTTAACATGTTTTCTTAAACAAGCAAACTACAACGATATACTCATTCTCCATAGTTCAGGGATATATCTAATTGACGAGGGTCAAAAATAGGAAAAGCATATTATTTAAATCTTAAACACAACAAAACGTGTTAAGACCTTTTTAAACAACTTTTCGACATATAAACACGATTTTCACATGCTTTAATATCAAAGAGAATTAATTTGTATTTTGCTGTGTAAAAAAGCTCTTATTTAAAAAATTCAATTTACCACCCTTCTAAAGTGTAAATTTTTAACTACAGATTTAAATAGTTTTACCTATGAAAATAATGGAACAACAAAAAAACGCAATGCTTCCACAAAACTACTACAACCCGTTTTAAAAAGTTCCTAAATATTTTCAGACAAATTAAACCAAAACTAAAACAAATTATCGAGGCACTTTATAAAGCTGGGGTGTGTGGTGTGTGGTGAGCTACCATCCATCTCTGGCAAATCCCGTGCCCAGATTATTGCATAGTTGTGTCCCATAAATTGTGACCATTGTCGTTATAACTGTCTGCTAATACACCCTCCACGGTCATACAACTGCGTCGTTAATCTTAAATCTAGAATCTACAATAAAACCACCATTCGTCGGCCCAAATATCTATGTTTACATTTACACAGTTACATGAAATTTAGGTTATTTAAAAATTTGTAAAACAGTTGCACTACACCATCATTGGTTATAAAAACTCCTTCCCACTTTCATATAACATATTATAATTCCCATTGCTATGCTAAACAGCATTTCGGCTGCAGTCTCTCAGTATCTTCAGAAGGGTATTTCTCTAAACAGCTGATTGACGCTGTATTATTTTATCATTTGATAAAGTATGTATTGAGTAAAACCTATGAGAAAATGTGTCGCACAAAAGTGGGGTTTCTAATAAGCTAGAAATAGTAAACAGCAAAATAAATTCTTAAACATTTAGTGTATACAGGGAAACTGCTATGTTACCTGTACTCTTTTATTTATTTTTCCCGGAGTATGTAGCGTTTAAATTGGTATCTTGTTTGTCCACGTCAAGTACGCAGACAGACAGAAATTTAGATAGGACCATGATAATACTTGGTTCTGCTCGTCGTCAAATTTAGTCAAAATATTTATAGCAAAACAAACCAAAAACTTCAATGTAAGGGTGAAACATAATTTTTACAAATAAGTGTATAAAACATTTAAACATTTACGAGCTGTTGGCCCGTCCTACGTACGGTAATCGAGTAGTCAATTAAAACGGAATAGTTCACTTCAGAACATCTAGTTTACACGCACAGTGACAAATTCTGACAGTTTTAATTGGGGCCAACTGCCCACAAAACAATCTAATTAACAATTAATTGTTATTTTTTAGTTGTTGACCATACTAACAAATGTCACGTTACTACCTATTTCTTCCATCCGATTATAGACCTAAAATATAGCGATATGCATTTTAAATTCGATAATTTTACCATAAAATAGCAGTTGCGTCGATTTGAAAAGACTTGAAGTGAGATTGGAGACCGATTCACACACACTGGTATTGAGTAGAGTTGCTACAATTGCATATACCACTTATATATGTACTTACCGCACCTTTACCTCCGTGACCACAGACTGACACCTTATGAGGATTCTGGCCACCCATTCTCTTCCATCCCCTGTCTCTTCTAATTTAGATCCCGGTCTGAGGAGATATTTCATAACTTGGTCTTTCCACTTAATTCTTGGTCTTCCAAGTGGTCTTTTATCTTGTGGTACTAAGGAATATACTTTTAAAAGTTTATTTATCTCCTATCCACCACGCATAGCCTGCCCATCTAAGCCTTTTACTTCTGGAAAACACCCCTATATCTGGCCTATTAATATTTTATCTAACTAACAAACGAAAGAAAATCGTTGTATATTCTTTTATGGGGTTTCCCCCAAAATAGTGTTAACATTTCTTGCTAATGTAAACGAATACTGTTATCGCTTCAGGAAAGTTAAAAATGTTGAGCCTCAACTCTAGAACTCTGAAAGGATAATGGGGTTTAAAGATTTAAAAACTAAATTGTCCCATTTATGCGATAGGCACGTCGCACACTGAGTCCGCTCAGTTCAGCCCGCTCAGCTCATCTCAGGTCAGTCAGCTCAGTTCCGGCAGTTTTCCCACACACTGCGTCAGTTCGGTCCGCTCAGTTCAGTCGTTTTTGAACGCCAATCGCTAGTGGACGACATACACTGACATTGTTCACAAGTAAATTATTTGTGTCGAGATTTCCTATTTGTTATGAGTTCCCCCAGTAAGTACTAAGGAATAGCTGTAATAGCATTGGCCCTAGCTGCAGAAGAGGATGATAAAGTTGTCAGGAAAAAGAGACGATTATGGGTTAACATTATCAATATATTTTCTATGTATCAATGACATTTCCTCCCACGCGGCCTCCTTTATTGTAATGTAGTAATCCTTGCGTGACAGACAGGTCGTACAACAATGGATACGTCTCTACTACTGAGATCAGTCGTTCGTCGAAATTCTTATTTAATAAATATCACACAGTAGGCCTACTACGAACATGTGTCAAAACCCCAAAATTCAGTTGCACAACACTGACTGCTGTTACTCTGCACTGCGCATGCGCGGCACCTCCGTTCCTTCCGTCGCTTCCGGCCAAATCGCTCGCCAACCGAAAACTGGCTGAGACGGACGGAGCGGACTGAGCGGACTGAACTGAGCGGACCCAGTGTGCGTCGTGCTATCGTATTATTATTACACCTAGGCTTGTGTTTATCAACTTGTTATGTTATAGGTATGTTTCACTGAAAATGTACTCTTTTTTATCATTTCGTAAAATTGGTATGTAAAAGTGTTTTAGTAGTAAATAGGTAAATAAGTAAGAAAGGGATTATATGGTGTTGGCGGAGTAAAACATACTGGCATTGCATCTAAATAACATCAATAGTTCTTAGAATATAATATACAGTAAGAAGCCGAGGAAAATATTTTTAGAGCTAATTTAAATCATATGCCAACAAACAATGTACTAAATTATAGTTTGTGAAATATTTGACAGAAATGGACCGTCTTCGCCCTCGAGCCGAACAATCTTTTTAGGCCCTAATGACGAAACATACTACTGTCCGCGAGAGTAAAGAAGTCCCTTGAGCCAGAGCGAACACAGCTATGTTTGGAGGGTATCGCGCACTATTTGCAGGCGCTAAGCATCTGGGTGCCTCGCCTCTATGTCTGTCTGTAAACAACTGTTGTAAACATAATTACTCATATCTTTGTTTTGGTAAGTGGATTATCATCATGTGGTCACGTCATTTGATTCAGTGCAGTCTCGTGTGTTCGCGTAGTGAGTTCGTTTTGTTTTGGACGGTCCTTGTAGCTATGGATTTAAGAAAACGTGGTGCTACTATACATAGTGGAGAGAGGGATTTAATTAGGCGGGTGATCGAGTGTTGTGACAACGAATGTAAAGACAAAAGGTTATTAGTGCCGATAGAAAAGGCAACAGAACGTGCCGCAAACTATTGTAAAGTGTCAGAAAAAACTATTAAACGAATTAGAAAAGCCGGCAAACAAACACCGGATGAAAAACTCTGTACACCCGGGAAAAAACGCAAGAAGGCTGACCACCATAAAGTACAAATAGATAGCTTTGATAGGCGTGTAATCGTAGATGTAATACGCGATTTTTACACGAACAAAAAAATTGTCCCTACATGTAAAAAACTATTACCTGTTTTGAGAGAAAGAATAAATTTTAAATGGAGCGAATGGGCACTTCGGCGTCTCTTAAAAGATATGGGGTTCAAGTGGAAGAAATGTGGTTCCAAAAGAAAATGTTTGATTGAAAGGCCCGACATTGTTAATTGGAGGTTTAAGTATTTGCGAGAGATAAGAAAGCTAAGGGAACAAAAAAGGAAAATTTTCTATCTGGACGAAACTTGGATAGACAGTAATTTAACGTTCCAGAAATGTTGGCAAAGTGTAGACGTCGATGGTGTGTTACCTGATATGAACGCGTCAAACCGCGTGATTGTCGTAGACATTGGGTCAAACGAAGGGTTTTTGCAGGGGGGTCGGCTTATTTATAAGGCAAACAGTGCCAAAGGAGACTACCATGGCCAAATGAATTTTTCCAACTTTGAAAAATGGATTAGGGAACGTGTATTGCCAAATTTACCGCCAAATTCAGTCATAGTCATTGACAACGCTCCGTATCATGGAGAACAGGAAGACAAAGTCCCTAATAAGTCTTCAACAAAGAAAGTAATGGTTGAGTGGTTGTCAAAACACGGCGAAGACTATGAACAAAATACAACTAGGAAAGCAGAACTTTTTGAAGCCATTGAAAGACTTAAACCACCACAAAAAGTTTACAAAATTGATAACTTGGTACGACAACAAGGCCACACCATTTTAAGACTTCCGCCTTACATGTGTGACTTAAATACCATAGAATTTGTCTGGGCAAAAGTTAAACAACATGTTCGATCAAGAAACACAACAGGTAAATTTACCATAACTCACTTTAGATATATGTTAACATTTTTTATTTAAAATTAGTTTCAAAAATGTTAGTACTACTACTTATGCCTCTTTAAATAATTACTTATTTTATTCAATATTTTACATTTTGAAAGAACTATTTATGAATAAAACTTAATGCTTTTAAATAATGTGTATACAATATTTAAATATACTTAAAAATTCGTGGTAAACTTTTGAAAAAGGTCAATGTAAAAATTAAATGGTTTTACATTCAAAATATAACTTTTTAACACAATTTTTGTTCTGGAAAAAAACAAACCTTTATTTTTTGTAATTTATTTTTGCACAGTACTATCACTATGCCTTAAATCATTATAAACATTTATACAACTGTCAATCTTTCATGGTTTTTTTTAATAGCCACATATTCAGCATGATATAGTTTGACATGGCATATCCAACGGAAGTATTTTTATCAGGTAGCATGTCCCTGGGCGCATTGACTGACTTGGCAAACGAGGCGCTTAACTCTGTTACCCCTGCGTTGTGGAAAAAATATTCCGAACATGTAGAACATACAGAAAATGAGTACTGGACGACGGATGGCATAGTGGAAAACGCGGTCGATGAACTTGTCATCAATTTGGGAGGCGGAGATGATTCATCGACAGAGGATTCCGACTCTGAACCCCATGATACAGACGAAGAAGATTTGGAGTTAGCCCAGCCTTTGCCAATGAACATCGATTAAACTCTTACAATATCAGAATTTGTAAGTAAAATACTATATTGGCAATTGTTTTATTGATATTTTGCTTAGGTTTATGGTAATAGGATTAAAAACTTTAATAATAAGTTGTTTATTGATGAATGCTATTGAAACTTCTGTACTCCATCGATCTCTATTGGCTGTACTCGAGTACTTATATTATGTACCGGTAATATGCATTCACCGTAAGTATATTCATGGATCAACTAATTATTTGGGATTAATGCTTGCAAACTCTGATTTAAAAAGGATTTTATTGTACAGTATTGTATTTTATTGGTATTGTTACATTTAACTAAACAAAAATCATAAAGTAGAAAAGTCATTAATTTGCCTTAGTAACACTAGAAAATGGGTTTCCTTCGATAGTATAACTATGCCAAAAAATATTATGACATAGATTCATAAAAATCATACTGATATTACATACAAAAATTAAGCATAACAACTAACAGAGCAGAGTGAAGACGGCTCTAATTGTCGCGCGAAACGTTCAAGCGTAACGCCTTCAAACTACGAATAGGCCGGAGCTCAGGGGACTTCTTTTCTCTCGCGGACAGTAATCGTTAGTAAGTGTAGGTCAGTAACTATTCTATTCCAGGTCAGTAACTGATTACAAGTGACATACGCTATATGGGATGTTTGAAGGAAACGCGCTGTGAGTTCAATCAGAAGTTATTGCTGAATCTTATAACTCATAACCCTGATTGAGACATTAAGTCAAGATTGGAACAATGTTTATTATACACAAGCAATCTGGTCCGTCCAGTCTTATATGTGGAATCGTTTGGAAAATATTTACACGGTTTGTCCTTCTACTACCCAAGTGTAGATGTAATTGAATTAACAAGAAGTCACAGATTAAGAATGAATACTCTCGTTGCAGCAAACCTGTGGACTAACCGAATTTCCAGTTAGTTTCTTCAAGAATTTTAGTGGACACGGGTTATTGCACGCAAATAAGGAGCAAGCTAGTCAAGTGGTAGAGAAAAAGGGCTTCGGCCCCCGAGGTGTAGGGTTCAAATCCCATGTATCAACAATGGTTTTTCACTCTGTGATAATGCTGCGACACTGACTTAGGCTTAGCGTGAAGTAGTTCGTAAAAATGTTCCTAACTAGAGCCTAAGTCAAAGTCCTAGCATGTGATGGTATGACAAGTTAAAGCAATACTTATAAAGGGGAATAATGATGGACAAACTAAACTAACAACTTCTATTGCCATATTAGGACCTACAAAGTTATATATTGCTTGTTATTTCATTTTAAATTCCCTAATGATGTTTATTGTCAAATTTCGCAAACTTACGTCACTTATTGGAAGTAATGAAATTAATGTGGAAATCGAAATATTTTAAGAGGTCCTTGGAGGGAATTGGACTTTTGATCAATCGTGATAACAAGACTACCACTTCTACGTACCTAAAGTAGCTTTAGCCAATTTAATTACTAATGGCCTATTTTTTATATAAACCCTCAACTTTAAAAACCTTCAACATTTCCCTTAAATTATTACAAAGCATCGATTCTCCTGGTCCGAAGCAGCAAATTTATATTCCGTTTTTGAGAGTAATATTTAAAATCGACCCTGCGATCCTCGTGGGCATCATGGGAAGAGCTTTGCTGTCATGCTGTCTAACGGTTTGCTTTTTTAAGCAGCTGTCAATTCTTCCACCTTCATCACAATGTGAAATCGCCAGTGTAGAATCAGATATGAGCCTGGTTTATGTATGATTTCTTTGTAGTGGATGTGAAACACTAGGGGCCTGCTTTTCCATCAATATCCAGAGTGTTTTGTCGGCAAAAGTGAGGATTACCTTTTTTATGCTGCTACCACAGAATTTCAACGTTGTGGAGTTAAAGTAGCTACGTTTGTATAGTAGCTTTGGCCATTAATAAACTAATGCGAAGGGGATATTCTATGTTTAAAGTTTGTTGAATTTCTCTGAAAATGTAAAACTCTATGCTCTAGCCCGGAATCGTGTCAAACATCTTTTCAAGCTTGGTCTAGCTAGATGGTCACAGACCACCATGCACATCAACTAATAGGATACAAAACACGCTACAATTTGCATGCTAAAAGAAGACAACAAGGAACTAAAAGCTTTTTAATATCACTGGCGTTGATGGAGAAATAACACTAGGTTAGTAGGGGACCTTGGCTGGGTGTGGTCCCTTGGTGGAAAACTCGTCTTTTAATTTGATTGAACTCATGATCGTTGACATATGCATGACAAGTCGAGAACATTTTCCAAGAAATTAGTTTTCCCTTAGAAAAATTATAACAGTACTATTTCACACAAATATTTATAAACTAGGTGAAACCCGTCGAAATCGACGGTTATTTTCAAGGATTACGCTAATTCATCTAACTGCGATAAATTGAGTGAAATTGTACATATTTTGAGCATTTAACATTGTTTAAAGATTAATAAGTGTAAAAACAATAATGATAGTTACCAAATATGGTTGATCATTCAATGAATAAAGTATCTCCCATACTGTACGTCATCGGAGTTATTAGTATATTATCTGGTATCTCATCGTTTGGATTAAACTTTAAATAGTATTAAAATCGTATTGGTGGATCTTTTGTAGTTAAACACTTCCGTGATTTCATCAGTGTAATGCAGATTAATCTATGATTTTATTTGAAAAAAAATATCTGTTTGTTGGGAGTTTCTAACTTCAAAGGGAGATATCCATTACAGTGTAAGTTTGATTTTTCCTTCGTCACGTCGCGTCAGTTCATATCGTACTTCTGTGCTAATGAATAACCCTCTATCACAGTTTTGAGAAATTTGTTGTGGGGTTACTGTTAAAGCTGGAATTCCTTAACATGGGGGATGTCAGTTAGTTGTCTTAGTCATATCAATTACATAAAGTTGTCAATATAATCTCTCTACGGAATGTGAGGTGTAGTGGAATATACTTGAAGTGAAGTTGGCTTTTATTCTTAAACTGTTAGGGGCCTCCTCATTTATATGCGGCTTCATTGACAACAAATAATGCAAATGACATAGCAATGGGACATTTCCAAAAAGCAAAAATACTGTAAATTTGCTGTTACGTAAATATTGACGTTTACATGCATTGTTAATCAACGTATCTTATAAAGGATGATTAAAGGAATATGACCTTTCTGTCATGACAGTAGCTGCTTAGTTTTCCAATGATTGAAAACATGTATGACAATAATCTCATGAACCTATGATGATCTGTCTAGAACAATATGATAAAAATAAAGACAAAAATGGTGAAAAGGGCAGTCACCAACCCGTAAAATAGATATAAGGTCAATAAGAAATAATTTTAAGAGTTACTGTGATAAAAGGATTTTCCACTGATTTCGTCATGGTATATATTGCAAAACATAACATGATACAGAAAAAAATTAATTTTAAAATCAGAAAATAACATTGCAAATGCTTCTTTTGGACAATTCAGTAACTCCCAATTAATGTGTCTTGTTTAAAATACAATTTACAAATTAACAGCTGTTTCATTAAAAAGTATTATCCACATGGCCAAAATGTAAACAAATCTGTAGAGGGATCTTTAAAGGCTTCTGGGGCAGAGCCCTAAGGGAATTTACTTCGTTTTTTTTTATAACCCATCTACAGACCAAGACCTTTCTTTTGACACCCCTACCAAGTTGCTACGCCCAGCCGTTCTCTCAAATTAGTGGTGACAAAGTTTCCAATTAAATCTTTAGATTCCCCCATGTTAATCTTATGGGAGAAAATCCAACTTTGATGGAAGATCCTGCCCAAACTAATAAAGATATCAAAAATCGAAAAAACACTTTGCAAAACTACAGATCAGGGCAATTCTATTGACATTTTAATCATCAAAATCGGTCCAAAAATGAGGGAGGAGTTCTGTTCACAAAAATCGGCTTAGCGTATTATATATATAGATAGATAGATAGATTGTATGCTAAGATTGTTAACGATTTGTTGTAGTTTTAAAATCTGATAAATGTTACTAGTATATAAAATCAATACAATTGATTCTACACTATTAATTCTATCAGTATATATCACAAGCATTAAATTTAATAACAATAATTTATACTTCATGTTAAACTGTTTGTCTAAAACACTCGTCCTTTCTGGAAGGTGCTGGGCTTGATAATGTTCGTTGTAAAAATTTAGTGGTTTGGAAAGGTATTTTTCAAAAGTAATGAAACTACATTAAAATGTGTTAACTCATCTTAAACAACCTCACTGTCATAACGCTGGGTTTTAGTAATTTAAGACATGAAATGGTACTGGAAATTTTATAGCTCTAAAGCTAGTTTTGGATGTGGTCTAAATAATTATATTTACCATAAGGTATCATATGGGGATAATTTGTAAGGCTTAAGCTACTTACGGTGTCCATTTTAGATTTGAACTTTAATTAAGGCCTATATGAAAAATACCCCCACCGCAGCAAAGTGCAACTAAGCGAATTTCCATTTGCCTGATTTCCATAAAAATAATGTAGGTACTGTATTTTAAATTTACGTTTTGTTTTTTTTAGTTTTCTACGAAAACGAGCATAACAACGCTTCAGCATACTAAATTATTTCTTTTTAAGCCGTACAAATTATTTAGAGATAAATTACAACATGTTATACACCTACACGAAAGTCCTTATAGTTGTTTATGTATGATTAAACGTTTACCAAACAATTATTCTAATTCTTCACCCACTAACGTACACAAAAAAGCAGCATGTTTCACCTAACTAAATTATCATGAAGTGTCCCTAACCTATATCTTATTCACAGCTCCATGAATGGTGAGTAGCCTGTATTGAAATTTTGATGTTCAGCACAAATTACTCACCGAGGGGAGATTTATGCAGGGTTTTATGACCACTTCCAAATATGAATCGCGAATGTCCCAAGCCCAGGGAAGACAAGGAGTGGGGAATGGAGATTATGTTCTGGAATGATGCTGTAAAGATGCTTCGGGATTTATTGGCACTAAGTCAGA